TTCATTTTCTTTTACTAAACATTCTTCAGCGTCTTTTTTTCATTTATCCATTAGGTTAATGGCTTATTATGTGATTCGGAAATCTTGAAACTCTATCATATTCACTATTTCTCCACTTATTTCTTGACATACATCAAAGGACTCTGGAACATACGCATGTAAAGCTACATTTCTTTCTCAAGCAACTAAAGAAGAGGAAAAGATACTGGCTTAAAAAAAATAAGATCAAATATTTACTTTATAATGCATATGAGGACAAGATTTGCCTTGTAGGAAACTTAGTATCACTGGGGCTATCCTTCTTTTGACCTCTAGCAGTATCTACGTCTTGCCGCTCAATGGGTCTAGTGGTTTTCATTTCACTAATTCAAAAGTTGATTGAACTCCTTCTGTTTGGTCTTTACTTATCTTTACTTCCTTGGGTTTTGGAGCTGTACCGGTTTGTTCAACCTATTCATTTTATCCTTACTGATAATCTACAAGGTTTCGTTGCTTCACATTCTAGACTGATGACCTGTTTTTGTGCTTTTTATATCTTTACTAAAAAATTATAAGTTATCTTTAAAACCTTGAATTCCTTCTGTATATTACCACGATTATAAGAAACGAGAAAAGGGGGAGGGGATAAGGGCGACCGATTATTGTGATAAAGATTACCATTACTATATTTCATGGTTGACATTGATTGTTTTTGGACCTAGTGCATACTCATGTGCTTACCATTCCTGATTGTTTCCATGACTAGTAATGTGATGATGGTACCAAGTCTGCTTTCACGGAAAATTTCAGTATAGAGTGAGTCTGGTACAGGGTGTAACCATTTCTGAAGCATAAACCTAAGTTTGTGCGCTGCGTGCATTTCCTTTTTACTGTTTATTGGACACGTGTTGTAAATTTACAGTAGGGGACCTTTTTTGGAGGGGTTAGACTTTTTTGTCCGATAGCTGAATAATCTAGGAGGGCTAGTTTATTTATTTTAAATAATCTCTATTTATTTAGATTAGATGACGACAGGATGCACATGAGGATAGCATTCTACTACTCCCTTTTTTTCTCT